TTTATAAAATCCCATACAAACAAGCTGGGTCGAGCGCATACATGTGGACCAGCCCAAAGTGCGAATGTCGATACAGGCTTCCTGACAGGCCTCGGTCGGAATCAAGGGTGGTTTGCAGTGAATACAGAAACCAGTGGTTTGATTGGACCGGAGTTCCCGGAAACAGCCATAGTGGAATTCCAACCGAAAAGGAATGCGTATGATCTGTTCCAGAATCAGTCGTGCAAGGCTATTTCAGAGTCCAAGTTTGCATGCAACAGCAACGTACCCTTATTACGGTTGGACCCTTGTCATGTATCAGATGAAGTACCACACAAGTCTACGCAGCAAGACGACACGGCCGGTATGCTACTGTTGAGCGTGCTATTAAGTCCCTAAACGGAAGAGTGTATGAAGACGATGAAAAGGAGGCTCTTCGTCGGATCTGCCGTGCAGCTTTTGCCATAACAAGTAAAATATCATTGGTCCATCATTGGCCTCATTATTACGCGGAACAAATCAAGGTTCACTTTTCACATCGCTTTCTCTACTGTCCGATCAAAGATGTAATGTTGCTGTTGAACAAACAAGAAGTGTCATCAGAACTACGATATTCACCAACAGGTCAGGCTTATCTTGAGAACCAGGCGCTCCACTATCTGTGTCGAAACAAAGATCTAGAGAATGTGTCAGTGAAGCGGTTTTACGAGCTTTACGAGGAACGACCAATGAAGAGTGTCACAGGCGGAAGCGTCAGGCGAACTGATGAGGAGAAATGGCCTTTTATGGCTGACACTAGGCATTTCGTGCATCCATCAGCGATCAAAGGAAACGACGGGGTGTTAACTGGTGAAACTTCAGCGGGAGTAATTTTGAGGAAAGAAGAAGCATTGGTTCGGGTTCCACAATGGGCCTTCTCAGATGCAGGCGGTTTTGGTGCGAATATCCTGACGTGTCCTACTGGCGAACTGAACCAGGCAATGGATACTTATGCGGAAGTGCTATTGGCTTTGTACTTGCCGCATCGATGTTTGGCTGATTTAAAGAAGTCCGTACCCCAGACCAACTATGCTTTCGCTGAAAGACTTCGTGAAGTGTATGAATACGATGTTCTGAGAAAAGCGAATAAGAAGAACCCGTCGTCTTCTCAGAAGGAACCTGTCATTCATCCAGAACATTCAAGACACCGCTTTCAACAAACCCGAGGTATAAGGTGAAAGAAGGATGATCTTCAACGAGTTACAAGCCTATAAGACCGGAACATTGGGAGGAAGAACATGTACGAAAACGAATCTGATGATGAGCACGAACATGAGGAAGATGATCTGATTCAAAAGGTTTACGAAGATTGGATACGTAATCTGAGAGCCAGGGCACAACAGATTCAAACGGGACTTTCTGGCAAGCACATTTGATGGTCTTAGTTTTCGGCTATACGTCACAATGAAGCGACAACGCAGGATACAACGTGAGTTACCCATTCCTGAGATTTCGTTAGATGAAGACGAATTTGTTACCATAAGTGCTACTTTCACACGACTGGCACTACAAAGAGAAGCAGAGTGGAACCGCCTACACCTCGTATCACAAGATCATTGAAGTTCTACTTAAAAACGGGAGTGCATCCAAGGGGCAAATGTATTTAAGTAAATCCGCAGGTTGAAGTGTCGCAGGCGAATGGAAGCTGAGAAGTATAAGTGACTGGCAACGGCTGCCAATCTGGACGACAAACAGAAAGGGCTTTCGAGTGTATCATTGCAGCTTCTTGTTGACATTTTATGAGGAAGCTGAAAAGGTGGATTAGAGGATGGAGTCCCGGATATGGGGTTGAAGGCAAAAGTCCGACTTTCTCTTAAAAACCTTTTGATTTTGAAGGGAAGTCGTGGCACCAAACTGATTCTTCTTCTCATGGGCCTGGAGGAAGTGGGAAGACTACGTAATTGACTTAGTCATGGCCTATGGCAAAGAATTCTGCAGTTTGATTGATCATCCATTTAACGACAACCATTGTTGTCACTGCTATGTCGGGGGTTGCTGCTACAATACTGCATGGGGAAACAACGCATTCAGCTGTGGGATTGAACAGAACTCGGGAAAGTGGGCGAAGAACTTGGTAGAAGATGGAGTGACGCACGGATGCTTATCATCGACGAAATTTCATTCGCGGGGAAACTTGACTTAGTGAAGATATTCCACTACACCAAGACCTTGATGCAAGACGAATACCAACCATTGGGGGGACTTAACTTGGTGTTGCGGGGGACTACTCTCAATTTGAACCAGTGGGACGCCCCCCATTTACAATCTTCAGCACACCATTCCTGAATTTCATGACTCTCTGAATTCATTTATTGATTTAGATGGAATGCACCGCTTCAAAAGACGATCCTGAATGGGGGCAACGCTGTTTAGATTCCGTGAAGGGCGACCAACAGAGAAAGATATTGAGACCATCAATGACGCCTGCGTGTTGGCCCAACCCATGTTCCCCAGAGAACATTCAAGTTGCTATTATCTGAATCGAGATCGAGATGCCATTAACTCAGCTATCTTCGAAGAATTTGGCGGGAAGAACAAACCTGCTGATGATTCCGTGCTGATGGATGCAACTCATTTTCATGGACGACTTCAAATGGCCAATCAAGCAGGGACACTGTTCCTGTTAAGAGCAATCGGTTTTAAAGCACTTCTTTCCAACATGTGGAGAAGACTCGTTAAACCCGGTTCGGACTCACGAAAACGTGTTGATCATGCTTTGAAGTTATATAAGGGGTGTCCTGTAATGTTTACAGAGAACACGAATTTTCCGAATGGAGAAGCCAATGGATCTCGGCTTTTTGTGAGAAAGGTGAATGTGAGGGATGGTTGCACCCCATGGTTATTCAACTCGACAAATCGGCTGCAAGATTCGGGCTTTTTTCTCAGGTCAAGTCAAATCTATCCTTGTGGAACATGAAATGGAGACTATTATGCCACGTACTTTTTATGTAACGGAGCAAGACTACACTTTCAGTACCAGATGGTTTAATGACGGAGAAGTTGTACACACAAGATGAAGGGTAAGCAGTTCCCGATTATAGCAATTCTGCGACAACTGACACAAATTACAGGGGTATACTGCAGTGTGGTTATTGGTAATTCATGGCGATACTGTCAAAACTTGGGTTACGTGGTGTTATCAGGGTGCGAACCATGAGTGGTTTTGTTCTTATTGAAGAAGCTGGATGGGATCCAAAGACTTTGCCAGCACAACGACGAATGAGAGACATGCTTGCAAGATTTAAGGATACTATTGGGCTTTCTGTCCTAGGAGAAGATCAATACGATGAAATGTTCCAGCGAGAAGACGGGTTCTTGTTATAAGTATAAACGGTAGAAATATAGGGTAAATTAATCTGTATATAAAAACTTTTATTACTACAACTACCTTTCTGAGATTCGCATTGCACCTCGTACGTCATTCAATGTCAGTCATTGAAAAAAGATCAAGCGTCCAATCAAATCACAGGCGACCCCGAAAAATTAGGAGCCAACTTTTAAAATGTGAAGAACGCAAGGCGACTTTCATGTGTATGTACATGCGTTGACTGTATCCCGTCAATACAATACTAGTCGAATACGTAGACTTCTACAGGGCCTTCTAAGTAATGCGCGCCGGGTATAATTCAAACCTCTGCCCCCATCGGTACCATTACCCCTAAAGCAAATCGTCTCCAGGAGACGAAATACTTTTACGGTACGGCTGTACCGGTACCTGTGTAGCAGTCCAGAACGTCTAGTAGAGTACTAGTACTTGCTACAGTCGTACTGTACTGCAAGGGGAAGCCAATAAATCAATCGGTTCTATAATCTTGCTTGCTATAGGAAGTTGGATTTTGAGGGGATGAAGAAAAGTTTGCCGAGATGCAGCAGTCGTGGCGCTTCGTTTCGTTGTCCTGCCTTTCCATTCAGTACAGTATACCTTCATTGTTCCTAAAATGTGAATGTTTTCTCCATTGGACTGCACTCTATTCAGCCTGCGAAATGTTCATGTTTCCTCCATTGTCTTACCGGTACACTCTATTCGTCATCTAATTCTGATTCTTCGACCCCAAGAGGTCCGGCTCGAAGTTCCGTATCGACAAATTGATCTTCGTGATACGTTAGGGTGCTCACTCTTCCGCCTTCCCAGCGAATCTTAAGCCAAAGTGTCTTAGTCACACGAGGGCATGGATCTCCAAACAAATGGATGTGCCAATATCGAGGTCCGCCTGGAGGTTTCTCCAAGATCAGCCGCTTGTTGTCTTGCTTCATCAGCAGGTATCGTAGGATCGTGGTGACATCCGTGACACCGTTTTGGCGGTCTCCAAAAGTCGCAGCTATCAGCAATGGTGTGCTCAAGTTGCGGTTGGCGTCCCAGTCGTAATCATCCATCCCTGCATCAAAACGAATTCCATGTCTGTTGAAGTACGCCGTCATCGCCAAGACTATATCGGGCATCAAAGAAGGATGGTAGAGTCTAGCCCAAAACCTTTCGCCACCATGTTTCCGGACGAAACGGCGATGTATTTCTCCTCTCACATTGTACTTTGGACTCACAAAAATCATGATGAGCTTTCCAAGCTCCATTTTGTGGTTTCTGGATACATGATCCATGGAATGAAATTCCAAGATCTCTCCAACTATGTATGTACGGCACATGGCGTTCATCTGCCTGCAAGTGGACGAACCGCTCACAAGATCGTCCAGGGTAAGGAAGGGGACAATGTACTCCGTAAAAACAGCTCTTCCGGCGCTTCCTTTTTTGAAAAAGTCATTGAAACAAAAAGGCTCCAGCAGATTGCCTCGAGACGCAGAGGGACCCGAGGACGACAACTTCAGCGCCCCAAAGCTCTTGGTGATGTCCGTGTCCATGCTCGACGCTATCGTACATGTATTCGCAATGGAGCAATGCCCGGCCTCAAAAATTCCACTTCCATCGAGTGTTACCCCCTTTGGTGGCATTCTCTTATCAAAAGATACTGCATTAGCGGCTTTGGAGAGAAACACGACGGCGGTGCTACTGCGATTGAAATTTTCACTCATCACCTTCCAGTTTTGCCTCACCCGTGAGCTTCTGTACTACTATAGTAGTGGCTCACCCTACTCAATAATCTATGTAGACAGCCGGCATACCAGTTCAATGTAGTTACCAAGCATGTCTGGACACCAGCAGAGTTTGAGAAGTTAAATATCATAGCTGGCGAAGGGTACCACGACTAGAGAGCCTAAACAGAAGGGTAAGGGAGCAAGTTATCTAGAGGAATGTGGCGGCGGGTGAGGAAGGAACGAACATGCCCAAAACTAAGGTTCACAATTTTTTATTTTTTCGTCTCTCAAACACTCACATACGAGCATTCAAGGCATCACCATGGTTCGTCCCAGCAGACGGAAATTACGCTTAACACAGGCGGCCAATGGTGGATCAAGAGGGAGAAAATGTACCCTACCTTCACTGCACACATTTGTCACTATGGCACTGTTTGCGGTTGTGTTCGTTCAACAGCTTCAGCATCGAGGCCAGATTGCACCGCCTGCAACTGTGACATCAGCAGCAACTTCTGCATCACCGGCAACTACTTCTACTGTGGCAACTGCTACCGCAGCTATGGCTACTACCGCGTCCCAGAATTGGTGGGAAAAGCCACAACCGCTGCTGTCGGATTGGCCTGATTTACTGGCACGAACTGACATGCATAAACATCTAGAGCTCCTCAAATTAAAGCGAGGTGCTGAAGTTGGTGTTCAACGAGGACTATTGGCTCGAAGGACTTTGGAAACTTGGAAATCATGCGAAAAGTATGCGCTGGTTGGTCTCTGGGGCGAGTAAGTGGACAATGCCCTTTGAAGGAATGTGTTTTGCCCTATTTGTACTCATTGGAATTATCATCTTATCATTTTGCAGTGAAGCAGGATCGGGTCCTGATACCAATATCCATAGAATAGAACATCTGGACAATGCCCGGCAACTTCTAGAGCCCTACGAAAAAATCACTGATTTTTACGTCATGAGATCCACAGATGCTGCCAAGAAGTTTGAAAAGGGCTACTTTGACTATGTCTATATTGATGCCTCCGATTATTGTGCCATAGCAGAAGATATTGACCACTATTGGCCCACATTGCGACCAGGTGGGATCATGGCAGGACATGATTTCGTGGATGAACAATACGTGATGGATCGACTGGGGTCTGACTGGCCCACCAAGTGTGAAAATGGGAGTAATCAACCCAGGTCTGCACGGGGGGCAGTGGAAGCTTTTGCAAAGAAACACAACTTGAATATCAAAACAACACAAGAGAAAAATCCAACGTGGTTGATTCAAAAACCCTATTGAGTTAGAGCAACAATCTGTCATAGATTCAATTATGCAATTTCCAGCACTGCGATGTTGTTCTAGTTTTCAAAGTCAATCCACGCCATTCTGTTAGGAGAGCATCCGATCATGACATGCAAAACAAAACAGTCCTGCAGGATCCAGATGGATTGGTTCTTCAGTAGTATCATTGTATCCATCGAGGACTCCAAGAGGATCCTTCTTGGTGGGATACTGGGTACCCAAAAACAGTGAAAATCAAGTTTGAGAAGATCCACCTTGGGAGCTAACAGTAGCTGTGCTTCCTTGGGGCTTTTTGCTCTCATGAGATGAATTGTAGCTAGCTATTGAATTAAAATAATGAAAACAAGAACTGATTGAACTGCACCCTTCCCTACAGGGATTTGCAGTCCCCTAGACCGAAACGATTGTTGTCGTCATCGCCATCGTCATCATCGTATTCCTCGTCCCTTTCTCTCACCGCATCGAAGCTATCAAAGATGGGCGATAATGGGAGTGGAGGTCCACCGATTTCCTGCAGCAGCCGATTCCCCGCATCAATGTCACTTTCCATTTCGGTCCGGAATCCATCGACCAATTGGTCATCCTCGCTTCGAGTTTGGCGTAACTGTTGGAGTTTGGCCTCTTGCTTTTTTCTCTTTGGTTGTCTTGGTTTATCGGGGGTACTATTCTTGGAAGGAGAAGCAGGCGGGCTACTAGCGAGTTGGCTATTGGAGGCAAACGAAACACTGGTCACGCGGTCGGTTTGTGCGTAACCTTGGTTGCTGGATTGTTGTGATTGCTGGAGCCGCATTGGAGACTCTTGCATCATGCTGGACGCAACGGAAGTGGCGGTCAAGTCGTCGCTAAAGTTATCTTCTTGAGACACTTCAGATGATACCGTGGGAGTTGTACTGTCTCCCTTGACGTACTTGTTGCTGTTGGGGTCTGATGCGCTTTTGTTTGTGTTTGCCACTTCAGCGGTTTTGTTGGTTGTAGTATCCTTGTTTTTTGGAGCGAGCGTATTCAAGACAGTAATCATGACCAGACAGATTGAAGATACTTGGAGAACAATGGCGGTCATTTCCAACGGCCCATAAGAATTGGAATTTGTCGCTTGCTGATAGAGCAGCACGATGTAGTGCGCAAATAGATCGAGAATACTCTGTCCGTATCCCACTCCTTCACCTCCCCCCGAAGCGACACCTCGATTAATGACACTGACCATGAGGCAGAGTGCCGAAGAGACACCCGTCAAGGCGGCTGCAATGAGTGTTTGAGAGGCTCCCTCGACGAGGAGCATGACGTATCCTCGAATCCCAATCATGTACATGAACCCGAGCAATCCGAGACAAAAGTGCGAGTTGGTCGCTGCCCATGCCAGATCAAAGTCTCTTTCCAAGAGTGCCCAGACCGTCGCCGAGGGTGCCACTACGGTCTCGGTCAACTGGTTCACAGCTACTGTCGACCAAATCACGGCGAGGAGTTCACTGGAAAAGGAAACAAGAGTCACGAGAATGTAGGCTCGTTTGGCGCGTACAATGGTTGTGTACAGCCCTGGGTCATGAAGTTGCTCCACGTCGGTCCATTGTCGAAAAGGAGCCAGAAAGCCCAAGGATACCATTCCCGCGGCCAGGATGGAAGCGGGTGTCTTCATATTGTTGAACAAGGCGGAAGCAGCACCGGTATAGTCGCTCAGAACAATAGTTTCTGCAGCAGAGGCAGAGGCGGAAGGGTCCATGGCGAATAACGTCATAGGGGTGGAATCGGGAGTACCCGTAGTGGAGGCAGTGTTGGAAGCAGGGGTAGCCGAGGAGGACGAGCTGGACTGAATAGAAGCTGCCTTTTTCTGTTGCTGTTCCTGCCTTCTAGCAGGAGGTTGTGTTGCCTTCTTTTGTGATAGTACAGATGGACGGCAGGGCCTTTGGTTGGTCCAGAGACATACTGAGGTACCTGGTTGTCGGATCGCCACGAATGCTGTCACAGTTCCCACAATGGTAGCAGAAGCGATAATGGAACCAACCAGTATCGACTGGAACTTTCGTCTCATCTTCTTCTTCGTTCTGTTGTACAGATATTCACCTTCCAAAGTCTTGCGATAATTGATAGTCTCCAGTCCCAACATGGTGGGTGCTTGCTGATGGAGCCGATTCTGATATTCTGATTGTGTTTCGCTATTTCCCGTGCGTCAATTTTATGGTCATCGCTTTTTGATTGGGGGCATGCAGTTCGGGCGGAAGATCCCAGCATTCGTGAACAGAACACCGCAAATTTTGGGACAACCAGATGCCAGTCCCAGCGTCCCAGCGACTGAAGCGAAAACGAGTTCCACCGGTACAAGCTAAGCCATCAAGAGCTGTATCAACACTCATTGACGACAACTAAAATGACATTATTTTTCTGGCCTCGCATCCAACCAACTCCAAAAGCTCTCCAGGACAATTGCCTGATCAATCCTCCAGACAACCAGGACCTGCATCAGGACCTGCTCTCAGACCTCAAGGCCTCACTGCTGGTCCCACACCTGGACCTACACCAGGCCCAACACTGCAGAGTAGGATCTACCGGTACCGGTGCACCTAGCTAGACTTACCCCTTTCCATCTCCAGGCCTCACAAAGGGACCAACTCCAGGTTCATCTCCAGGTCTCACATCTGGTCCATCTACAGCAAGTCCAACACAATGATCTATTCAAGGATTTGCAATAGTCCAACTCTAGGACCTGGACCAGCTTGAGGACCAGCAGTACCCCTCCCCGGATCTATGCACAGTTCCCCACTTCTGGTCCTCATATTTTGACAAACATCACACTCAACCCCAAGCTTTACGTCAGCATAGAATCTGCATAGGAACAGGACCTGCTCCTCTACTTACCACAAGTCCCTCTTCAGGCCATACTCCAGGACCTAAAACTTGGACCTGCCCATGACCCAACTCCAACCTACTCCTAGTCCCACACCTGGTCCACTGCCAGGTCTCACACTTCAACCTACTCGAGGACATACACCAGGCCCCACAAATAGATCTACCATTACTCCTGGACTTGCCTGTGGTCCATGTCTAGACCCCACCCCTGCCCAACCTTGGGCCCCCAGACCTGCTTGCACCTGACAATGAATCATTTACTCTGGAGGGATGACCTCCACCAAATAAGCTAAGATTGCAAACCAGTCAACTCTATGGTTGGTGATCAAGCTGCCTCCTTAAAATTGGCTAACGAGATTGGCTGTCCATGGGCTCTCAAGAAGCCTGAGAGAACAGCAGTTTGCACAGAAAACACAGCTTCGTGAAGCCATTGGAGGACGCAAACAATAACGCAATGAGCACAGATACCGTAGGGTAAAGGAGGCTACCTACGGTATTGGCCCTGCACATCTATGACATACCGGTGGTACCAGGTACCAGGTACCGGTACCGGTACCATACCCATCCCTGCCCTTCGGCACGTCACCAGTGGTCAGCACTGAATGCAACGGTCCCTCGAACGATCAAAACCGTGAGAGGAGCTCCTTCGCCCGTTCATTCGTGTATTATCCTATTGCTTCAGCCTTAGGTACCATACCGCACCGGCTGCTTCCAACGAATCTTTTAGAGCACCTTTTCGAAAATGTTTTGAAGGTTGCCCGTGGGAGCCTCACAAAATTCCCTTCGCTTCAAAACTCATCGCAGCAGCTATCATCACAGGCCCTTGTTCTGACGATTGACAAACAATTGTCGGAGAGGTGCTCCTGTAATACTAGACTAGTGGTAGCACTCCACTGTTTCAAAAGACGATAGCTTTTTATTAGTTAGGAGCCAAAGCAATCAACACAAAGGCAAGATGAGGTATAGTTTGGCAGCACTGATAGGTTTGGCCATTTTTGGCATCATCTCTTCTGCCATGGAGACACAAGAGGAGCCTGGGAAGGGTCGAATCCAGCTTACTTCTCCAATCTCAAACGCAGACCAAGACGCTTTTTATCGGGGCCTTCCTTATGCAAAGCTAGAAGAGAAGAAAGATAAGTCCAAACAAAGAAGGAATCTGCGACAAACAGCACCTAAACCGCAACGGCGAAGACTCACAGAGTCTTGGGTAGACAACTACCTGGATTTTCAGTTCCAAACAAGCGATAATAGTACTGAAACAGGAACGGTTGTCCCTATCACCATTGTGGGAACTGTGGAACCTAGCTTCTTTTGCTCGTCATGTCGACAAGATCTGGTGTTGCAACAAGAGATGATCATGGCCAATCTTACAGCCAGCTTTCAACGAGTGGAACTGGTGGCTGCCACACAAAAGTTGAAGAACGCCCTCTTTGTTCGCATTTGGACAACCATCGAAATGGGCAACACCAGTATCAGCCTGCTGAGAGCTCAGGCTATGATCCTGGAGTTTGTCGGTCAAATAGAGGGGGTAGAGAAAGCTTTTCCACAAGAGACTTACCAACTAAGCTCCTTTGGAAGGGTAGGAGTGGACAAGGCCTTAGATTACTTGGGGGGAAGCGATGCCTTGGATAAGTTTTGTGTCAGTGGAAAGAATGTGAGGATTGCCGTCCTGGACAGTGGAATGGACTACACACATTTTCTCTTGGGAGGACCGGGAACCCCAGAGGCCTATGAAGCTGCGTATGGGTCCGGCATTGATGCCGAGGAAAACACAATCATTGACGAGGATTCTTCCCTCTTTCCAACCCGTGTGGTGGTGGACGGAAAAGACTTTCTTGGTGAAGGATTTGTACATGACGAGGATTCCAAACAGGGAGATGCGTTGCCAGACTCTGATCCAATCGATGGAACTCCCGGCCACGGTACTGCCGTAGGTCATGCAATTCTCCAAGTGGCCCCCAATGTTGAGCTCCTGGCCTTGAAAGTGTGTACAACTTCGGGAACGACATGTCCCGACTTTGCCATTTCGTTGGGATTGGAATATGCTTTGGACCCAGATGGAGATGGGGAGCTCAACCCAGTTGACATTATCAATTTGAGCTTGGGTCTTCAGTGGTTTTCTCCATACTACGATGTCATTTCCACCATGTTGGAATCAATGTACGTAATAAGTCGTTCGTTGGAGTGTACGAGCTTGGGTTGCATTGTCTTACCTTCCTTACCTGTACTGCAGAGCTGCTTTGGGGGTTGTGCCCGTGGTGGCAATGGGCAACCATTTCAATATTCCTTTTGTGTCTGGCTTTGCGTCTGTGACACCTGCAGCAATAAGCGTTGGTGCAACCGTCCATCCCAGCGAGTTTGACTTTCAGAGACAGCTGCAACATGCTGGTCCTAGAATGGCAGAATATTCATCGCGGGGTCCTGGCTTCAATGCCATGATAAAACCGGATCTTAGTGCTCCGTCGGGACTAGCCTTGGCAGCAGCTGGGTCGGGAACAGGACGCTATGCTGCTGTGACAGGAACATCCTTTTCAGCTCCGATTGTGGCTGGGACAATAGCTCTTTTGATTGAAAAGTGCGGTCCTGGGAGGTGTTCTCCGTTCTCGTTGAAATCGCTAGTAATGAACAATGCATATCCCAATGTGCGATATACATCTGACGATGACACCGGTGCGCCTGTATCTTGGATGGGAGCGGGAGAGTTGCAAGTGTTCAAGACTCTGAATGCCTCTTTCTGGGCTTATTCTCTGGAAGATGTACAACCTGCAATCAACTTGGGCGTCGTCAACGCTGCTTCGGATATGGTGATCAAACGAAACCTACGAATTCATAACCTGGCCTACTACAATCACAACTTCACACTGTCAAGTCAATTCCAAGACCGAAAGAAGGCGGACTCGGGAGCCTTGGAAGTCGAATTCGAGCACGTTCCGACGCTTCACGCCAACACAGACGAATGTAGCGCCACAAGCTTTATCGATGTCACGGTTCTGTTCAAATTTGTTGCGAGCAAAGCACCTCTGGTAAGTGCAATTGGCTGTCACCACCGCATCATGTCACCATGCCGCTCAACTTTTGCGTTTTGCACCTTTTAGAACCACATGACATCAACTGGCTCTAGAGCCAACGACCCTACTTCAACACTCGACATCAACGAGTTTTCTGGGCATGTTGTCATCGCCTCTGGCGAAGCTGGAGCGAACATTAGCTTACCCTTTATGACAATTCTCCGGCGCGCTGCCAATGTAACAGTTGAAAACTCCAATCTCCAGTACTTTGGTAGGCCCTCAGAGATCTCGATAGGGCTTACAAACCACGGTGCGGGTGTCAGCCAGATTGATAGCTACCAACTTATTTCTCTTGGAGAAGACAATAAAGAAGCAAGTTACGGTGACCCGCATGAAAAGATTGACATGAGGATGGTAGGCTACCGTGTCCTGACTCCATCCGAAGATCAAGCAGAGGGCTGCACATACCTATTCGAGTGGGCGTTCCAGGCCTGGGAAGCACTTGATCGTCTTCTCGAATCTATGTTTGAAGTTCAGCTCGATGTTGACGGGGATCACACTGTCGACTATTACATCTTCAATTCAGCAGTTGGTTCTGTTCATACGAGCGGACCGGGAGAGATCTTAGTGCGAGACGCACGAAGTGGAGATGTCTTTTGCTCTGGCTTTCTGGCTGACCACCACACCTTTTCCTCAACTGTAGTTCTTCGAGTCTGCTCAGACGATTTGGGCATCACCCAGCCCGGCCAGATGATTATGCAGGCCCGAGTAGTCTCAATTCAATTCGATGGAGAGTCGGAAACAACAGATGTCAGTCCATATGCGACTATTGTCAAGTTTCCAGATGCTGAGATGTTTGCCCCATCTTATGACGTGGGTCCCGGCGAGACTTTGGAGTCAATTTTCGTTGGTGGAGACTTTGGCACATCAAATGGTGCTTTCCCTCTTGGCTTGATGTTATTAACGAATGCTTACAGAACACCCACCAGCACTGGCGCTGCGGTGGCAAGTTCTGAGACAATAATACTGCTCTCAGGGTCGAACAGCAACAGACTCGAAATATACGAGGAGGAGACTGAGGATGTGCTGATCATCCCACCTGCCTCGAATCTAGAGGGTCCGTCTTGTTCTTGGGATCGGGTACCTCAACAATGTTCAGAAGATTTGACTGGGGGGTTTACTCTTGTCAACAGCGCTGTGGAAGCCTTCACTATTCCTAATAGCCGTGAGGGACCAAAAGATGGTTTCAGTTTCCACCTGCTCCAACAATCCAACAATGATGAGACAGAGGACCGTCCCTCTTGTCCGCTCGTAGAGACCCCCCGAGCCTCCGTCCCCACAAGATCTCCGTCATCCACCCCTCCAACCGCTTTACCGTCCATGCCACCCTCATCTACTCCAAGCGACCAACCATCGTTACAGGCAAGCATTGTTCCCAGCGAATGGCCATCAACTGTGCCAAGTGGATCTCCTAGCGACAGTTCTACGGCTCTACCAAGCACTGAGCCACCAATAGCGACGCCAGTTCCTTCTTCAGTCCAGTTTGATGAGCTACAAGTACAAGCAACACAAATTCCAAGCGCAAATGACGGTGCTGCATCGACTCTGAACCCCACAATTGTCGTGCTTTCAGTTGAGTCAAATCAACATCTCGATGGTGCAGGGGTTAATCCACCATTGTCGGCAACAGATAGATCGACAACAGAAGGGCCGACATTCACGCCACCGATGGCCCCCCGCCCATCAGCAATGCTACCATCTGATCTGGAACGAGCAAAGCCAACAAGGGAAGACAAAGGTGTCCAGGTTGAGACAACATCAAGTCAAGGCTTTCAACGAACAACATTCTACAGCATACCAATCCTCGTTGCAATCGGATGGATGCTACTTGCATGAGCTTGTTTTTTCCACAATTCCACGGGGGTACAGCTGCCGGTACCGGTATTCCCGTCGACACTAGGGATCCCACTTCGACTTCTACATTTTTGTGTGTCATGGATGGGGCGTTTTGCTAGCTATATGTAGACTATCAGTTTTGGGTTGATACATTATCTCGATTGGATATGAATTAGCTGCAGCTTAATTGCTATAAAATATGTAAGCCTGGGTTTTCACCGCCTCCTTGCTGTCCTCTAGAACACGCCATATCTAGGGACGACGGGCCGTCCTTGCTTCATGGATGACGAGCTATTCTGTCTTGTTCTTCTCTGGTTGGAAGGATGGCATATCTCAGCAATAGCTTTCTCTTGATCAAAGTTCTCTCGGGTAGTGTCATCTTGGCCGAAGAACGCATCATGGAATGAGGTTCCTGGAAGCAGTGTGACGGTTCGAATTCTTCTGTGCCGATTTGATGGTTTTGTGGTCTCTTGTTGTGTCTTCTCCTCTTGGCCGAAGAATGCATCATGGTATGAAGCTCGAGGATGAAGCGAGACGGCTCTAACTCTTTGATATGAATTTCTGGAGCGAGACATGGTGTATGTTGTAGGCTACGAGTAAGAAGTTGTTGCTTTTGGTGCCTGTTGTTGGGTTTCAGTATCTTTCTGTGTTTTTGTTTTGTGAGCTTGAGGATGAGGACTGATGCTCTGTAGGACTTCCGAGGTCTTGTGATTCTTGGGTTTCTTAGCTGTTCTTGGGACGACGCAAAATCTACTCGCGCTTCTGCCGCGTTGACAGTCATCGCTTTGACTCCCACAGGAGTTGTCTCAGTTTTCTTCTTGCACCACCCTGATGCATTCTGCGACGCCTGTATCCATCCCGACACCAGTCCAAACTGGTACCGAACGTCCCAATGAAGGCAATTCTGATTGAAGGTTCCAAGTTATGAAATGTTCGGCCAGACCAAGATGGCAAGGTTCTGGAAGAATGATCTAGCTAGACTACCGGTAGCGGTTGCTCCGTTGGAGATTTTTCGATGCTGATACGGCATTCTGCTCACCCCGTGGAGCCAAATCAGTGCAATTTTTTGTGCTAGGGAAACATGGTCAAGACGGTCAAGTACCTAACTAACTGATGCCGTCATCTAATGGAAGTTTCCTTTACAAAAATCTTCCAAAATCTATTGTAGTTGCTATGATAGATGGAATAAGCCAAGCATTATGCCCGTTTCTCGGCCAGCTCGGCTAGGATATCCTGCACCAAATCAAAGAATGGAGGTACGGTGTCAACGTGAATACTTTCATCCGGAGAGTGAGCGCCTTCAATGGTGGGCCCAAAGCTCAGAGCATCTACATTGCCACCCATCTTTTCAATGAGCAACCCACACTCCAATCCTGCGTGAATTGCCTTGATTCCAGGCGTCCGATTGAGTCGCTGCGAGAGCAAGCTTTTGGCCATTTGAAGCACTGGAGACTCCATGTTTGGATTCCAACCAGGATACGGTGGTGTCTTTTCGATGGTGGCTCCAGCCAGCGAGGCCACTGCGGTCAGCCGATCTCTGGTGGATTCCAGTGCCGTGGCGATGGAAGAACGAGTCGAACACAGAATGGTGGCCTTGTCATCATCGTCCATTGTTAGGGATGCCACATTGTTGGATGTTTCCACCAAGTCAGGAATCGAGTGTGAAAACTTGATGGCACCATGCGGCAATGAAAGCAACATGGATAAAAGGCGGCTGGCGGATTGTTTTTTCAATGGTTTAAGACACGAGTCGCTTGATTCATCGCCGTCGTCTGTAGCAACAACAACAACACGTAAATTCGATTCCAACACACCGTACTCTGCCTTTGCAGCAGACTGACTGGTTTCCGCAACTTTTTGGACAGCTGCTTGGGCATCTTTGCCGGAAACGAGCAAGTGGGCTCTGGCTTCTCTGGGAATGGCATTGTGTTTGTCGCCTCCAGTAATAGAAACAAGATGGACCCCTTCATGCTGGAGGGCTTGTTGGGTTGCGGCAGCACACAATAGAACTGCATTGGCCCTCCCTTCGTGAATGTTGATACCAGAGTGTCCTCCCATGAGTCCGTCCACTTTCAATTCGACGAGCTTCCATTCACCATCGTTTTCAAGTACATCATCTGATGATCTTTCCAATGGCAGTGTCAACGTCGATTCACCACCACCGGCACAACCCACGTACAATTCCCCCCACTCCTCCGTGTCTAGGTTGAGCATGGTGGTTCCAGTAAGGCCCAGTTCCTGAGCATTGAGTTCTGTGGCTCCAGTTAGCCCCGTCTCTTCGTCAATGGTAAACAGTGCCTCCAGTGGTGGCATGGGTCGACTACTACTACTAGTATCGGTTGTGGGAGTCTGCAAGAGGGCCAGTGCCGCTGCCACACCAATACCATTGTCGGCACCTAAAGTGGTCCCTTGCGCACCCAACCAGTTTTCCGATGCCTTTTGGAAGCGCCGAAGAAGAATGGGGTCCGTTTCAAAATTGTGAACCTTGTCACTGTTCTTCTCGGTCACCATATCGACATGTCCCTGCAGCACGACAGGAGGTGCCGCTTGGCCGGTGCCACATCCAGGATGAAACACGGCCAGATTTCCCACGGCATCTTGTTTCCACTTTAGATTGTGATGGTCCGCAAAATCCTTAATGTATTGAATGACGGCATCTTCTTGTTTGGAAGGACGAGGAATCGATGACAGAACGGCAAACTGAGACCACAAAGATTTCGGTTCCAAGTCGTCAATGGCGTCCAACGTGTCTTGTGGGATTTCAATCTTGGTGGCGGCGGGATGAACCAACGTCGTGATGCTTGCAGAGAACGATTTCGACGTTGTGGCCATCAAAATGGCAGAGCTAAGGCTCCGCAAGTAAGTCAAAGATCCACTCCTGACTACTCTCATCTTCGCTTGTTCAGACCAGTTTCACTACTAATATGTACTGTAGCCTTTATCCTCTGCTATGATTGTACTGTACTAGCTAGTACTCAGTAATGATTCTTTGGAAGTGCTAATGAATAACGAAGTGCGGTACCACCATGCAGCGCCATGGTGCCATTCGGTTTTGCGGCGAACGCTGACTCACCCACAAGATCCAGAAGTAGTGTGCGTCCGATAGTTTTTATTCACCCCGAGAATGGAACGAAAGAACCAAGGCAAAACTGTCTTGGAGCGCCCAGATTGGTGGTGTGGAGAGGTTGGTGGCTTTCTGAATGATGGTACGGCTGGTCTAGGCTGAGCAATATTTGGCACCTCAGTGGTGCTTTTCTGTTGAGCTGATGTTGTTCCTTTCAAGATAGATACCGGTACTGCAGATACCGGTGCAGCCTGCATGATGGCCAGGTGTCCCGATCCACACCAAAGCGTAGGTAAGTCAGCACCGGCTTGACATTAGTAGTAACGGGGGTTTAGAGTAGGGAAATTAGCTACGGATGCCAGCCGGGGCCAGGCTTAAGCAAAGAACAGTCCAAATTCAGGACTAGGTTCTGTGGGATCAGGGGCAAGAAAGTGAGGACCATTATGGGGGCCAATGGCTGGTTTGGCTTTGCAAGATCCACGGAGACATAAATGGGTAGCTTTTGATGGCATTTGATCTCATTCCACAATTGCCAGACAGATTGGCAAGGTGCCTTTCTAAAGATATGCTATAAAGCCCACCGGTTTGGCCAACAGACAATGTTTTACATGTGAACCGCTCCAGGCATTGTTCGTGCAGGTCGCGATCCCTTCTATGTATGGGGATCACCTGTCGATGCTCGGGAAGCTTTACTTTCAGACCTTGCAGCTTCACACCTTCCCAGCTTCCTTTCATTTTCACGGCTACGGAAGCAACGGTACCGTCCGTACGGTGTTGTACCACCAGCTGCCAAAATTCACCGACACATTCGGCAGTCCTGGCCAATTCGAAACTAGCCGAAGTTTACAGGGTTGTGTTACTCCCTTATCCACGGTGAAGCCAACCTCTGTAGATGTTGCTTTTCCTTGGATAACAAACGCCGATGTTAAAAAGTGTACTTCTCTTATAAACGAACCATGACCACGACTGAGAGAAAGTGGCTTCGTACGTGTTTAGCCTTCAACATGGGCATCTCATCCATCTCCTTGCCTTTTTCTTCAGCTTGCTACCGTACTAGCCGAACCAAATCCATGTCTGGTATGATGCTGTGGGTGCTCTCGCAACCACTAACGAGAAACGATTGCACCCCCTCGCTCCTTGTCGGTCTTGGTGGGATGAGAACGATACCATAAAAAGATAATCAATCAGAGTCCATTCACTCTCGCTACCGGTACTTGCTTTGGAAAACAAATTTCGTACTTCTTTCGCAATAATGAGATTCCTTGCTGCACTGCTCCTTGTCTTGGGGGTGGCCTGTTGGACCGAATCTACCAATGCATCGACGCTGAGGAAGAAGCCTCGCAAAACCCAAACAAACGAAAGCGTCCAGAGGCGCCGTCGTTTGGTTCAGGAGACCTTAAGATCAGAATTACAGACCATGAAGAAGACACGACGTGCATTCAACGCAACTGCACATAAAGAAAACAACTATTCGAGAAATCTCCAGGAAGAGCAGCAGGAACCAGCAAATCAATGGATTGTCACACTATCAGAAACGCCATTGCTTAAATGCCCAGGCTGTGCTGGCCTGGTCCAGACTCAACAAGATCGAGTCTTTGCCGAAATCCAAAAGATGTTCCCTGGCAGCTCTTTGATGTCCAACTCGCAAAAGCTGGTCAATGCTATCTATGTCCAACTCCCTGCATCAGAAGATGGCAATAAACATCATGTCGAGGGGTCTATTCTCGGTATTGGTGACGTCGTCGAGGTCATGCCCCACGGCAGCCTCCAGCTGGATGTCTTTGCCGCCGCCGAACACATTGGAGCTTTCCAAGCCCGCAGAGCATTCTGTGGAGTTAGTGGAAAGGGAGTGACTGTGGGGGTTCTGGACAGTGGAATTGATTATACCCACAAGGTCCTTGGAGGAGAGGGGACCCAAGATGCCTATCAAGAAGCATACGGATTGGGTCCTTACTCCAGAGCCAATCGGTTGAGAGAGGGGTTATTCCCAACAGAGACCGTGATTGATGGTTATGATTTTGTTGGGGAGTTCATCACTCGGCCAGTTCCTGATGAGGACCCCATTGATTCATTTGGCCATGGCACGGCTGTCTCTGATGCTATTCTGACAGTGGCACCGGGTGTCAAACTGGTTGCCATCAAAGTGTGCTCTGTTTCCATGGCTTGCCCTGCCTTCTCGCTCATTAGGGGTTTGGAATTTGCCCTGGACCCAAAAGGCGACAATAGCTTGGAAGGTAAAGTTGATATTATCAACCTCAGCCTGGGAGTTGCTTGGGTTTCTCCCTTCTACAACTTCGTCTCCTCTGCACTGGAAGCAGTCGTCAACGAGTATGGGGTTGTCGCAGTGACATCTGCTGGCAATTCTGGCAATCTCCCGTATGTCGCGGGTGGTCTTTCAGCGGCGCCTTCTTCCATTAGTGTTGGTGCAACTGGGCATCCAGGTACCATTGATGCTGGGGTAATGGCCAATTATTCCTCCCGGGGCCCTGGCGAAGGAAGCATGTTAAAGCCGAACCTTGTTGCACCATCAGGGCTCACTCTTGCTGCCGCCGGCACTGGAACCTCCAGGTATAGGGACATCCAAGGAACCTCATTCTCTGCCCCGCTTGTGACTGGTGCGGTGGCTCTCATCTTGGAAAGATGCCCCGATTGCAGCCCATTCGCAGTTAAATCACTGTTAATGAACAATGCAAAGAGGAGTGTCAGGTATCACAATGATTCTACGGCTTTGAGCCCTGTCACTTTGAGTGGAGCTGGGGAACTGCAGGTCGAGAAGACTTTGGAAGCGGATGCATGGGCTTACTGTGTCGAGGACGTGCAGCCTTCTATCAGTCTGGGGTTCGTCAATGCTGCCAATGATATGACTTTCACAAGAACAATCAAGGTAATCAACCTCTCAAACAACGCAAAGACATTCCGAGTCAGCTACGTTATGAGGGATCCCAACCATCCGTACATCGACGCAATGCAGATAGAGTTGAATACATCGGAGGTTGTCCTCGCCGGTGCCTGCAACAACGAGGCGTTCGTAGAAGTGACGTTTTCCATTGATGCCACTCGATCCCCACCAAACCACCTCACATCCGCGGGAAGGTCCAGCCTCAACGCCACCAATCTGGATATTCACGAGCTGGGAGGTTTCATCGTGTTGACAGCAACCGGGGGTGACATTAGCTTGCCATTTGCTGCGATCATTCGCCAAGCCGCAGATGTGACGAGCGCGGAAGCTGTCATCCCAATCTTCGGTGGTGGCGGGGCAATGGACGTGGCGGTGGACCTGACGAACAACGGAGCGGGAATGGCACAGATCGATGCGTTTCAGTTGGTTTTGCAGAGCGAAGATGATCCAGAGAGCGGCTTTGGGCAGCAGATCGCTCCCAATGACCTGCGCTATGTCGGATATCGCGTCCTGGAAGTGGGCGAATTTGGGTGTACCCATCTTGTCGAGTTCGCCTTCAACACATGGGAACAGAAGAGTGGGCGCCTGGTCACACAAATCTATGGCGTTGACATTGACATCGATGGAGACAGTGAGGTTGATCGTTTCCTCTTCAACACTGCTTTGGCCCAGGAGTGCCTTGTTGTAGACGCTCGTACGAATGACACAGAGTGCACAGGGTAAGTGGGGTGTTGGAGCGGGTCGCCTTTTCGTTGTCCTCAACACCTTGTACTCACTACATTTGTTTTTCTTGTCAGTCTTCCTCCTGATCACAGCACGAGTAGCTCCAACACGATTCTGCGAGCATGCTCCGAGGACCTTGGCATCACCGATTTCCGAGGACAGCTGGGTGTGCGATTTGAAGCTATCACCTTCAACGACGACGGAATCATCGTCAGTACCGACGCTTCATCTGAAGACGAAAATGACTTGATTTGGGTCGACTTCCCAATGCCAGCACTGCGTGCGGCGTCCTACGACATCTATCCTGGACAAACAATACAAAGTATCAAGGTGGAAGATAGGACCGACGATGACTCTGGGGAGCCGCCCCTCGGATTGATGCTGGTAACAAACTCGTACAGAAGCGAGTCGAGTACGGGAGCGTCCACTCCGGGAACCGAGGCCATTGTTTATCTGCGGGATGGTTTGAGCCGCGACAGCTTGCCATCCGAACAGACGCCCGACAGGATTGAGTTCCCACCAACAGAAGACTTGAACGGACCGCAATGCTCATGGGCTGAGGTCGACGACCAAAATTGTGACACCGGGGCCTTTAACGACCCCAACGACATCACTATCGACGCAAGCGATACGCTGGAGAGCCCCATGGGTGGTGATGAGCGACCCCTGATGCCCCCCACCATGCCCCTGTTGTCGGGGTTCGGCCTGTCTCAAACCAGACATCATGACGGTTCTTCTGTTTTCGGGTGTACGCCCATTGAGGTTCCTCGTGCTGCAGTGATCACATCACCACGAACGAGTCCTGTCGACGACCCAACTCCCACAATACCCATACCGGTGGCATCCGCCCCAACAAGACCCACGATATCCATACCAGTGGTCTCCTCGACCTTGGGGCATGGTCAAGGTGTCGCGTTTGGTATCACTACTCAGCAGGCCAATCCAGGAGCCAAGGAGGAGGAAGGTGTCGACAGTACTGCCGGTGGAGAATCTCTCAATGACAAGGCCCCAGAGACAAGCGAGATTAGTGAAGCAAGGCCGTCCTTGTCCTCCAGGGCATTGGTATTGACAACGACGTTGACGCTGGCGTCGCTGTTCTGCTGGATGCGGTAACGCTATGATAATTATGGAAGGAATAGTTCTCAATGATAGAAGAACAATAATATATCTATAATTCGATAATTACACATGCTGCCAATTAGCGGAAGGATTGCTCAATCGGTCCTTTTAATGGTCGATTGTTGCTTGTTCCGTTGCCATTTTGCATGTTACTTCCAACTCTTGGCGCTATGGAGGTTCTCTTGCAACGATTTCTGGAGCTCCTCTACCTCACCCGTGTTTTCAATGATTGCCGTGACAACGCCCTTTTCGACCTCTTCGTCTGCATTCCCAATCCCCCGTCGTGTCTGCTGTGCTTCAATCCGTTTTTGGGCGTCTTCCTCGGAAAAGTTTCGGTATTGTACCAGTCGTTGAATGGCCACAGTGTGCGGTACCCGCACTAGCCAGATTCCATCCAACAAGTCTTCCCATTCCGCATCCAGGAGTACGGCTGATTCCAATACGATAGTGGCTGGTTGTTGGTGATTGTCGTCATTATTATTGCCCTTGCTTTCGTTTTGTTGTTCTTGTTTGATTTCCTCAATCCTGGCGAGTATTTTAGTGCGGACATGGGGCCATACAATTCGTTCCAGTGTCTGCAATCAACGCAATCAATATCAAAGCAATCAGAGGCGAGGGTGAGAGAAGAGTTTATCAATGAACGAATGAATCAAGTATGTCATGTATGCACTCACAGCCATGGCGTCTGGATCACTAAAGACAATGGCACCTAGCTTTTTCCGATCAATCTCTTCTTCTCCTTTTGGTTTTCCTGTTTGCAAAATATCGGTCCCGAATCGTTCGACAACATCCTTGATGGTTTGGCTTCCTGGCTGGTACACCTTGTGAGCAATCGAGTCGGCCTCTGATATAATGATCATCAATATATGAGTATAAACAAACAGAATGGCGAGAAAAATAGTCAGTTCGGTCCTGATGTTTCTATGTAACATGCACGTGTGTGAAAGAAAAGAGAACAAAACTGACTGCGTAACTCACCAATGTGAGCCACACACCCCAATTCCGAGACTAGCAATTCACATGCTTTGCTCTTTCCAGATCCAATTCCACCACAGACGCCCAGTATTCGGACCTTTTTACTAGCCGTATCTTTGTTGTCTGTGGACATGTTGAGTAATATTGGACTCGCAGTGGCGGAGCCTCGACCCTCCAAGAAACAAGGCGTTGTCCAAGAGAAGGTTGAACTGGGAAACAATGCAAGCACCAACAGAAGAACTGTACTACTAGTAGCCAAGGAGCAACCTCTCTGAAACGAGAACATTGGTTGGATGCTTGATGAATGAGCTACTACGGTACCAGTAGCTGGCTGAATGATCCGTATCACTCACAATGAAGCAAATCCATGTCAACGAAAAAGGCTGATGGTGGTGTTGAAAAGAGGTTGCTTATAGTGTTGTGTGTTACTACTTGGTTGTTGTGGTTGATTTCTAGTAATCTGGTAACTGGATAGTCATAAATCGCTACCACAGGTCATTTTCGGTCCCCTCAAGCTAGAGGGGGATGTATC